ACACAGAGACATGCCAATATACATTTACTAAATGCAGTAACAGTAGCAGGTCAACATCATTACAGCTTTCACTTATTGTAGTTTATTTGCTGTCAGTTTATACCTATTTTTCCACCTTTGAAATATTGAAAAGATCAAATGTTGGAAGTAAAGAACTTACCCAGTTGTGCATAAGTTTCCTTCAGGTCCTGTTTTTTGATAACACCGTCTCTGTCTTGGTCAATGCAACCAAATGCCTGTAGGATGAAGAACACATATGTGGCACATAACTATTTTTGAATCATAGAAAGAGTTTTATAACTGAAAAATGATGTTTTTACTTTTAATAAATAGCACATTTAGAGGCCAACTGTCAATACGTTTAGAAATACTTTGAACACATTTTTTTCAGAGTGAGGATCTGATGCTTTTTCTTGGATATTGGGAACTTTGCATTTCCTTTAAAGTTGGTTAAAGTAACTAACTAAAATTTCTAAGTAATTTTAAAATTTCTATTTAGTCTTTCAGTAGGCTTTAAACAACAATGAAAAATAAGTTAAATATGAATTTGAATTCATTTTTAAGGAATTGGTGTCATAAGCTGGTATTTTACCTCTTTGAACTCCTGTATCTGAGACTGCTCAAACATGGAAAAGACATTTGAGGAGGATTTCTGTCCTCCCCTCTGCCTCTTGTTGGAAGCTTTCTTGCTTGCCTGAGATGAAGAAAAAAGAATATATTATATATAATCCTATAGAGGGCACTGAACGGATCAAAACAACTGATTTCGCAGTACGTAAATAATGTTTTTAAATAAGCATCTTCAAGATTCCTAATTTTTTTAAAAACAAAATCTTATTTAAAATCACCATAAAGACTAAAAACAGTGACTGGCTTACCATGTCTGAATGTAGGTTTACTCCAATCCAGGTGATGATGGAGGGTTTTATGTATAGCCTGTGTTATCTTATCTCCTACCCTCCTATAATAGACTGCCATGGATAGCTGAGACCCTTACATGGTTAAAGCTGCGTCAGTGTGTGGCTGAATGGACGTGATAAGTGCTGAAGCACACAGGATTCCTCTGGGCTGGAAAAAGAGATAAGAACAGAGAGGACAGGAAAGGAGACCAGCAAAGTGACTTTGGACATTTGACAGTCATTTAAATAAATTCTTATAATTCACGGATTAAATCAGGCATTGAAGCTTAAAGTTTTTACAGAGAAATATTAGAATAATATTGGATTATAATGCAATGCAAGGGTTTTCTCAAAAACTGTGTGAACTAAATATTTTTTTCTTAATGCCTTAACTTTCTGTTTTTATTTAACTAGTAAAATAATAATAATAATAATAATAATAATAATAATAATAATAATAATAATAATAATAATAATAATAATAATAACATATACAGCTATTAACAAATGAAACCGCTAAAATACATTTTTTTAAAGCCTAGTATGTTTTCTACTTAAAATAAGTATAAATCTAGAGTTATTTAACCCAGCTCTATTCCT